AGACATTCCTCAGGATCTCTGGACTCCAAAAGCTGCAGCCCAATTTGAGATTTTTTAACGTCTGCATATAATGTGGTATGTTACGAGAAACACCTGCCAGTCGGCACCAACATTTATCAGAAGCAGAAACATCAGGAGATAACATCTGAAATGCCCAGACGAAAGGAGAGTGGAAGTGTAGCATACTTAGGTTCACAAAAAAGAAGGAAAGAATAAGTGGCTGCAGGTATACTTTGAATTTTGACTGGAGGATGGGGTCAGTAAGGTCCTACTGGACCTTAGGGTATCATTGGTGAACTACCAATGTACCAAAAATAGTATTTCTGAAGCATTTTGAAGTTTACATTCAGAAACTCTGTTCCAGCCTCCTCAGGTCTACTGTGCCTTTTTGTGCCACGTTGCTGAATAACTCTGCTGAGTAACACTTAAGAATGATAAATGGAATTTACAGCACACTTCACCAGCTGAACACATGTAGCCAGTATTTTCTTTCTGCTCACAGTCTTTTAGTAAATATTTTCCCTCAAATGGAAACAGGAGCTCACAGGTTCTTTTTACAGCCCTCCTCATCAGACTTTGGAAACCAGTGAGTTGCTCAATTATACAACCACTTGTACACATTTCTAGATCCTCACATGTGTGAGCCAGTGTGAGGTATTTACATAGTTTAAAAGCTAAGTCTTGCAAACAGCTGTTGCCTTTTATCTGTCTAATTGTTTTCCTCCAAGAAAAAGATGATATGGGAAAAAAAGCCCATTAATAAGATTAAAAAAAACTGTACGGTATATTTCAGTGACTCACATATATTGCTTCAAGAAAGCTCTTATTTTCTGAAATTTCTTTGTTACTTTCTGGATGTAATTTACCTTCTAACATTTGCTCTTTGAAAAATCAGAATGATTCAGCATTTTCCAGTTCTTCTATTTGTTTAGTTTTAAATAACCTATAACAAAAGTATTATTTGTTATAGGATAGACACCCTGCATGGATACAGTCCTCATAAAGGCTGCCAAAAAATCATAAGTAAATGTTTAAATTTACATTAAAAAAACAGCACAACACTTTTTTAAAACTACAGTTTTTTTTTGTCTAGGTACAGTATTTTTTTAATTATTCCCCCATCAGCCTTTGTGGTGCAGCAGTGACATCTAGTGGATTCTAGAAGAAAACAGTTCCTGATGGATCTGTGCAGTTGAGGATACTGTATATATCTTAATAAAATAATCCTAATCAGTGTGTGAAGACTGGCAGGATAAATCTATCTCACAAACACGCTATATACTTAAACATTTTCTTTAATCTTATAGTTCTCACTGGATGTTTGTCTAAAACCACAGAACACTTATTATAAACTTGCAGGTGTATAGTAAATAAAGTCATTTCAATGTTACGTTATTAAATAGAGTTTATGGAACATAAGAAATAGGAGGTTATTGTTTAGCCCAATTTTGCATTTTGTATTATCTTGCAGTGTTTTTTGGGTTAATAAAGACTTCATCAATAAACATTCATTTGTGCTTTGCTTACAAATAAAAAAAAAGAAGAGCCATTTTAAATGTTAGTACCTTTCTTTCTGAGAAATTGTATTTCTCATTCATGTATAATACCTTCACGAAAACACATTTTATTCTAATTTTCTAATGTCTTAAAAATGTCAAAATAAACCCAATATTTTAGAAGTGTAATCCCGTCATACTGTATATCCTGGCTAACTTCTACAGGTACACTATTGAGAGTATCCTGACTGGCTGCATCACTGCCTGGTATGGGAGCTGCTCCATCCTGGAGCACAAAGTACTGCAGAGGGTGGTGAAGTCAGCCCAGCTCATTACCTGCTGTGAACTACCAAACATCCAGGACATCTACTCAGTTAGATGTCTAAAGAAGGCCAGATCAATTCTCAAGGATCCCAGTCATCCTAGTCATAAACCGGTTTCTCTCCTACTGTCTGGCAAATGGTATCGAAGCATTCAGTAAAAGACCAACAGATTATGGAATAGCTTCTACTTCCAGGCAATAATACTTCTAAACAGCCAAGCTGCAGTCACTTTCAATAAATCTGATAAATGGTCAGGGTCACATGGACATGTATTATTTTCACTGGATTTGGCATATTGTATATTGCACTTTTTGGACATAATACACTGTATACACCTTGGACACATAGCAGTTCTATTCATATTGAGTTTTACTTTGTTCTATCTTATTTTATTTTATTTAATCCTTATTATGTTATTTATTATGTACAGTAATTTTATATTAGGACTTTTAACTCATGTAATTTTTATTCTATTTCCTCTGGTGTGCTTGCAGAAAAAAAAAAATTCTTGCCAGCAATTACTGCTGTATGCTGTATTGATGTACATTTGATAAATAAACTTTGAACTAAAGATAGCTCTCAAATAAATTTTAGCAATGATCTGGTTTGAAGTATTTTGGAAATGTAAGAGGGCATCTTCCTGTGTGTTCCCTCTATCATCAGCCTTTTTTATATTATTTAGTGTCTATTAATTCTAGCATTTATTAATTAAATATAATAAGTTATGTCTTTATTGTGCAGTGCTTAATGGGTAGAACAACTGTCAAAATATACATTGTGTCATCTTGGAGCACAAGGTTGAAATTTGCTTTCCATGTCTTGAAAAGCATGTTGAGGGTAGTGCTTTTAAAGGACTAGTTCATTGCAAATTTCACCACCACCACTACTACTACTACTAATAACAATAATTGGTTGATACAAAAAATATCTCTCAACTATTTAAGAGAATAAAAAATAGGTTAAAAATAGGCCTCTCCTTCTCCTCACAGGATGCACTGCCTTACAGCTGGCCATCCCACTGCTGTCACCAAAATGTCACACAATGGCCTGAGCAAGGCCAAAGTAGGTCCGTTTTATCTCAAACTGGCCCTGCCACAAAAGCACCCAAGCAAACAAGTGCAGTCTATTTACAGTGCTCCCAGTCCCCCACACCAGAAAACACCCCCCCCCCAAAAAAAGAAACAAAAACTAATTATGCAAATAAAGGCCATTCCCACTCCCACTCCCACTCACAAACCATTTCTCTAATTCAAAGTGTTTTTTCCCCTTTCCATAAATAACCCTTGAGATGTGGGGTTAGTTTTGGCCTTTTGAGGCCACCATAGGCTGACTCACCCTGGAAGTACGGACACCAAACAAACAGTGAGTAACATCAATTTTGAGAGTGCTCTCCATTCACACCACAATACTCACTCATACCTGTGTTTAAGTATTTGAATGTATGTGAAATTAGGTATGTTTATGTACGTGAATGTATATGAAATTAAGTAATAGTAGTTACTAGTCAAGCCCTGAGTGTGCTACCTCTTGAACTAATCTAGCAACCGCTCAATAGAAAATGTATGAATGTTGTATTTTCTGTGCTATCTGTACCCCGTGACAGACTCCTTTGTCACACACAGACAAAATCGAAATCAATTTGCCTGTTGTTAAGAGCTAATCTTTAGTTTGAACAAAAACCGGGGAATCAGGCACGATTCTGTTACTTCTTAAAAAATAATACCTGCAATATAACTCAGGTTTAAAATGTGGTCCTAACAAGCTGAATTTATTTTATAGGTTAATTAAAAGGTTATTTCATAATTTTGTGGTCTCTGGGGGTTCAACATTTTTTCAATGTCGGTTTTTAGTTATGGCAAGAAAAACATGAAAAAAAAACATAAAAATATCATTTCAGTCTATTCAATTAGTACATACTGTACTATGCAAATATTTTCTTTTATTGCCTGTGTTATGTACAGTGTGTGTCTGAATATAATTTGGGAAGAAGTTCCATTTCTGTATTATTATAACAACATAAACAGTACAGTACATAGGTTGTGAAGGACATGATAATTAAATGGTTTATGTCAGGCTAACAATATAATAATTATAAACAGAAATCACTGCAGAAACAATATACACAAACTCTTCCTGAAAGGTCAAAAACATGTCACCAGGTGAGATCTTGGCATGATATCATCAATCAACAGTTGACCAAACATCAGAGAAAGTAGTAAAAGATCTGTCCTTATCGTTTGATTTTTTTATGGACATTTTCAGAATGGCGTTTGATTTCTTTATTGAAATTTTCAGAATGGCTCTGTGACTATTAGTTGCATTTGTAGTATACAGTTGGTCATAAAATGTCCTGGGTACATCTTAATATCTAGAAATAATTTCAATATTTTCAGAAATCATTGAAATAAACTTGTGGATCCTCACATGGAAGGAGAATTACTTAACATTCTATTATAGGTTTATTTATATTTATAGATTTAAGATCCATATTCCTGAAAATTTGAAGAAAGAAACTTTAATATCTAAGGCAATCACAATACTGATGCAATTGTGAATCAGAGATACAGGTCAAGGTACATGATATCAGTCATAAAAGTCATGCTTTCCAAAGTGCCTCAAGGTTAGTACATACAGTTGACATACAGTACAGTACTTTAAGTGTACCTGTATGTGCATGCTTATGTGTGGCAGAAATCAAATAAAGAAAGCAAAATGCAAGTTCTGTTATTTAAATATATTTTTTTTGTATTCCTCTGCTAGCTGTGGGATTTGAACTGGCAACCTTCCAGCCACAGGTGCAGATCCTTAGCCACAGAGCCACCACTCCACCCCCAATTAAATAATATTAAACCAGGCTAAGGGAAGCCTGCTAAACATATCTTGTACAAGTCTGTGATCTTCTACAAGAAGTCTGTGATGCATTTTTTATAATTAAAAGTAAAGATATTGCTAAATGAATGAAGCTGTTGAATTAAAATTAAATATTTTGTACTGTACAATATGTTTGAAGAAGCAAAACAGCTACACTATATACAGTACTGTATAGATTGGAATGTTGCACTCCATATTTACACCATTAATTTACAGTATGCTCAACTGATCACCCCAGCCATACAGCCCCAACAACTTATGCGTTAAATCCACTACACAAGAAAATGATCAGACTGTGGTGGGAGGGAGATTGGAACCTTGCAAGAGATATCAGATAAATGACAGTGAAAAAAGGTTACTTTCTTATAGGGAAAAGATTACTCACATTTGTCAATGCATTGAATAACTGTTGATAAAATGCCGACACAATGAAAGAATGTACACGAGATCTAGGCAAGTATTGTAGTTGGCTTGATGTTACTTTTTATTCTTTTGTCAAAGGAATAAAGAACAATGGATGAATTTCTCCAAAGCCAGATATGAAGAATGAAAAATTAAATTAGTGTAAACAACCACATTTCAATAGGTATTATTACACAGTATTTCACACTTAATACAGTAGGATATTTAGTAGAAATGGACTATCTGAAAACCTCTAATACACCTGAATGCATTAGTATTAATGTTTCCCATGTCAATATGATTGTGCTCTAAATGGATAAGGACTAAATTACTCAGAAAATTCTTGTTTCCACAAAATGAGTTCCTGGGGATAAAGTGAATCTTATTATTATTTAGAGCCACTGAGTGTAGTGTAGCTGGAAGTTGTCTTGGGACTTCAAGGAGATTGTTGTAACTAATATCTAGATGGTGCAATGCAGATAGCCTTTTAAAAGCTCCAGCTGCGACCTTGACAATCTTATTCTTAGAAAGCCCAAGCTGCTCCAGGTTTTTCATCTTTAAGAAAGCATCTTTATTTACTGATGTTATTCTATTCCCCTCAAGATTCAGGGTCTTTAAGGCACTTGGAAAATGCTTTGGGATCTGATTAAGTAAATTTCCCCCAAGATTAAGGTTTTCAAGTTTAGCCATGTAGCAGAAAGAATTTTCATCTATTCCTTTGCTGATGAGTTGGTTGTTGCTTAGATCAAGGTAAAGCAGATCAGAGTAATCTGTAAACATTTGGCTCAAAATTCTTTCTATTTGATTTCCTTTCAGATACAGTTCTTTGAGGTTAGTGGGGAGTTTGTATGGCGTATCCGTCAGATAGTTGTTGTTGATACTCAGAGTGCGTAAATTAGTCAAGGAGCCAAAAACACCATCAGGAATAGACTCATTTGACAGGCTGTTATTGTTGAGGCTAACAATGTGCAAGTTTTTACAACTGAACCATACTTGCTCTGACATGACACTAATGTTGTTTCCATTCAGTCTCAGCTCCTCCAAGGTTTTGGGAAGATCTGTAGGGATGCTGGACAGGAGGTTCTGCTCAATATAAAGCCTTTTCAGTTTCTCCATTCCCTCAAAAGCTCCTTCAATGGAGCTATCAGTCAAGCGGTTGTTGTTGAGAACCAAAAATTCAAGAGAGAGGTATTCATTTAACAAATCCAGCTGAATGATGTCTATCTTGTTGTTCATGAGAAGCATGTATCTAGCATTATATGGAATGCCATAAGGAATCTTATCTACCCCCTTGTCAGAGCATTGGACCACTCTGAAAAAGAAAAGAACAAACATTTCTAAAATTAAACAAAAATAGCATACATTAATTAAATGTTTTTAGAGTAAATATGAATGCTTCAACAGACTTTCAGAAGTAAAGAATGCAAGTAATGACAACACTGAAATCTCATAATAGAAGTAGCAATGTGTATACAAATACTGACATGAAGTGTTATACAGTAGTTCTCTTATAGCTATTGGTCAAATATCAAGAAATCTTACCTTCCATAACAAGCACATTCTTGAGGACAATAATCATCTTTAAAGTATGGAAAATATTGTGCCTTTTGTTTCTTCTTTTTGTTCACTTTTTTATATCCTTTTCTGTGGATCATTTGGTTCTTTTTTGATTTCTTAACTTTTTTCAAGTGCAAAAATGTGTTACCATTTGTTTTGTCATCACTGGGGGAGGATTGCTCTCCCTTTTTAGATTTTAATTTTCGATTCAGTTTCTTTGTTTTTTGTTCTTCAGAGTGCTGGTCATGTTTGTCAGAGTCATTGATCTTCGTTGTAGTTGGGATTAGCTCCCTTCCGGAAGCACTAGCAATGTGCTCTTTACCTTCCCTCTGGGAAGATGTTGTATTTGATGTCATGTTGAAAGAAAAGGTGAGGTTATGGTGCATGATTTTTGTAGACTGTGTTGATCCGTTTAGCAACCTCATAGTTTTAGTAATATCACTCTTCACTGGATTAAAGGTAAGGGTGACTCTGGATTCCAGCTCCTTAGATGCAAATGAAACATTACTTCCACCTGAAATGTTACTTTTTATGTGAAATATTCCTGGTTCTAGAAGAGTTCTGTTGTTTGCAATCTTTTCATTTGCCTCTAATGAATGTCCTCCTTGGCCTGTCCCTTCTCTCTCTTGTTCTTGGCTTTCTGCTACCAAGGACAAAGGAAACTCTCTCACACTTTCTGCTGTCAGGTTAGAAGGTAAAACATCCATTGGAGCATTACTCCAGATATCCTCTGTTATCAAACCTAGGAAAACAAAAGTATTGTAATTTTTTTCACATGTGAATGCTAAATTCTAAATATCACAAAATATTTTTATTGTTTTCCAGAGATTTTTATTGAAGTCCAGAGATTTCCTTCTCCTTCTAATAACTTGACAGTGAAAAAACTGAAAATGAAATAACTTTCTTTTATGTCTAAATACTTACTGGATTTAAGCACACGTGAAATGGCAGGACAAATAAACACCCAAAACATGAATGCAAAAGGTCCCATTTTTCTTGGATCTGAAAGAGTGAAGAAAATAAGATGCAAAAGTATATTGTTTTTTTGGCATTATCATAAAGGTTAACAAAATGTGATGCCAAGGATTAATTTAAACATATTTTATTTCAATAAAAAAGAATCAGGTAATTTAAACAATCATTAATTTAAAATATTTAATGGTCTACTCTGGATTTTTTTTTATGTTCCATAATGAAATGATAAGTTAATGACAAATTTCCAGGTAAAACGTCCTTTCTTCACCCCAGAGCCTAACCATTTCCACATTTAAACTTAATGCATTTTTATAAATGTAAAAGAAAGTAAATTCAGTTAATAATTAATTTGTCTATTTGAAGTACATTATTCCTTGCTGATTTGCTTTCTTAAATGTTTAGACATGTATTTCAGGAAATGGCAAAGCAAATGTGTGCCAGGATCCAAAAGTATTAGAAATTCCATGAAAATGTGAAAACCATCCCATATTTCCAAAAGAAATGTCTTACCTTGATGTTATTTTTTAAGTGTTCAGTATCCTGTATATCCTAAACGTATCTCTGCTGCTTCACTGCCCTGTCTGTTCATCCAATGACCCATGCAAACTAAATGGGTGAGCCAAGGAAAGAGCTGTTATTATCCTGTAAATTTCTAATTCATTAATGGAATTTTCACAGGTAAACAACGAAGAAGAAAAATCTCTAAGATCAACAATACCATCATGAGATAAAAAATTCACAAAAGGCAAAAGTGACCTTTTAAGGAGTTATATTCACCTTAGCACTTAGATACTTGCAGTTAAACTGTTGTATTGCAGTCTGATGTTATTTTGATGGGGAAGTGAGGCATGTTTCAGAGTCTAAAGTTTCCCCACCTAACAATAGTGTATCAGTCTACAAAAGTATAGTCATGTGAAAGTGATAATTCATGTTTTTCTTAAGTCTCTATTAGATACAGGTTACAATCACTCAGTTCAAAAACTAAAACATATTACAAATGCAAAAATTACAAAATCAAAATTGGGTTTCAACTTCTGTCCCATTGTCCTGACTTTATAGAGTACATTTCTAACAAAACTGACTTAGTGTTTTAGAGACTAAAATTCCATGCTAATTATTTTAAAACTATTATTTTGACTTCTGTACCCTAGTTATAAATCCTTATTATAATTTGTATGGTTAGTTTTCATTAATTGATTGTCACCAGATATTATCCATGTCAAACAAATGTGCCTAATGGCTTTTTGAAAGAACTTGGAAATTGCTCTTAAAATATTGAATTACAGACCCAGTTACAATGTTTTAAACTAAAACTCGGAAAGGATTCCATCTTAAGGGTAATTAATATTGGATAAGCATTGCAAAATGTGCAAAAATTCTACACAGAGAGTACAGTATATGCATGTATGTACTGTATGTACTTTTCTGAAGCCACTGCTATTTTACTTAGCCTTTATTTTGCAAAATGCATGTTTCAAACTATAAAATCTCTAAATACTAAATCACCTGCATAACTGTATGTTGTTAGATGGGTTTCTGCTTCTTGATGACTTCTTGAAGAAATCTGTAGTCTCTTGAATGGGTCTTTCCTAACATACTGTCATGCCCTGCAAATGCCGTTACATTCCAAAACCCACTGTTTCACGATCTCATTCCTAACTGAGCCCATCAGATTCTCACATGCACATGCACTGATTCAACAAATTCTCATTACTGGACCAATTATCCAACCATGTCCCTTTCCCTTCTGTATTTAAAGTTCCCCTATGCACCAACCCATGCTTACTGCTGAGAAGTATTCTCTTGTGTGCGTTTCAACCTTTTTGACTGATCTCCCAGTTCCTAATCTTTGCTCTTGCCTTTTTCGACCATAATCTTTAGATTTCATTTTTTGGATTGTGTTTCTCGGATTTCCCTGATTACCTGACTCATTTCTTTACCAATCAACCAAGCCCCTGGATTACGTGTTTTGAATATTGTCCCTGTGCTACTCTACATTCTACAGGATTCATGGCCACGAATAAGGATCCTCCCATTCTACCTATTGGTTCCCTAAACAGCAGCAGTCTGATGATACCCTGACAGCTGAAGCCAATCAGACAATGACATTGCTTAGAGATTTCATTTCTGGTCACAGCTGGACAGTAACAAAATTAATAATCAGCGGCAAAATCTCAATTATTTTGCTGGTGAAGAAATAGTAAGTTTATCAAGCAAGATGGCATCATTCCATGGTGAAGTCTTGCATGTAGCTCTCTCATTTATGTTGTTTATTTTCATGTTATGTCACATTAATTGTGTAAAAAATACAGATGAGGCAATTACCTATGATAGACAAACATTCTTGGACCTAAGATTTATAGCTTTGGATCTGACTTCAATGGAAACAAAAGTATATGACTTTCCTTTTCAAGCACAGAGCAAACAAGGACACGAGGAAGTGGGATTAGAGAAGGAGTGTTTTAACGTGACAACAGATGTGTGCTTGTTGGCCCCCACTCCCCAGCATCCTGCTTGTCAATGTTTCAATGATTCAACAGTAAGATTGATTAACTTCTCTGTCAGATCAACACTCTGCGTGACGTGAACAACTGATGCATCTTTCACTTGGCTGAAACGTAATGTCCCCAATACTGCTGTAGAACCCTTTGGATTCATGCTATACAGAATGGACCCCATAAATTATTCTAATTGCAAAGAGAAAGGAGGTGGAGTGTGTTTCGTGATTAAATACCTTTGGTGTACTGATATAGAATTAAACATCTAATCTGGAATACCTCATTACCAAGTGTCATCCTTTTTACCTACTGAGGGAGTATTCGGTTCTTGTTATGACTGCTGTGTACACTGTAGTCAGAGAGGTGTACAGCATTATTTGCATATATGCATCCAGATACTCTGTCTATAGTGGCAGGGGACATGAATCACTGTAATGTTAAAAAAGTAGTACCGTACTTCCTTTTTTCTGTTCTCACTACAGGCCACAATACACTGTTTCACTGATACACCACCATTAGAGGAGCATACTGCTCCATTTCACATCTGTATTTCGGAAAGCCTGACCCTGTCTCTATGCTCCTTTTTACTCCTAGTTTACAAACAGAAGTTAAAGACTGTGCTACTTACAGAAAAGACTGTGCAGTGTTGGTCAGACATACTGTACCTGCCTAGCAGGTACTCATTGACTGTTTTGAAATGACTGATTTATGTATATTCAAACATTCTTCTACTGATCAGAATGAATATGCAGAGGTGGTTGTATCCTACATCAATTACTGTAAAGTACAGTATATGGACAGATGTGTTCCTGCCAAGAATATCTAGATATACCCCAATCAGAAGCTTTGGATGAACAAAGACATTTCCCATAAACTTAAAGTGGAGTCTGTTGCCTTTTAATCAGGAGACAGGGGACTGTATAAACAGTCAAGATATGACCTCAAGAAAGCTTTCAAATGGGCAAAACAGTTTCAAACTTGGCAAAAAAGCAAAACAACCTTGGAGCTATTCTAGGTGTATGTGGTAAGGCTTTCAGGCTATCAAGAACTATAATGGCAACACCAGTGGTATTTCCTCGGCTGATGCATCTCTGTCAGATGGGTTGAACACCTTTTACTCCAACTTTGAGTCCAAGAACACCAAGTCTACAACCATGGCTCCTAACGAACCTGGGAACTTTACAGCTCTTTAAACATGAGGTGTGTAAGCCTTTAAGTTGGCGAGAACCTGCAAAACAGCTGTCCCAGATTGTGTCTCCCCTCATGTCCTTAAAATCTGTGCAGGTCCTGTATAGTATATACAGTATATACATATTTAACCTCTCTCTCTCCCTGTCAGTCATACCAGAGTACTTTAAGAAAACCACAATTTTACCACTGCCCAGGAAGAGTAAGGTATCATTTGTGAATGATTGCTGCTCAGTGGCACTCACTTAGTGGTCACAAAGTGCTTAGAAAGTCTAGTTTTGTCATACATTATATAAATTGCACTATCCTAGACTCCCTCAATCCACTTCAGTTGCTTACCACTCAAATGGGTCAGTTGATGATGCCATAATCTCCAGCACTACATACTGCCCTAGGATATTTATACAGGTGGGGCACCTACTGTATATTGGAATGCTGTTTATACATATTAACTCAGCCTTTAACACAGGTGTTCCCTTCCAGCTGGTCCCAAAACTCAGGAATCTGCAACTGAGTACTACATTTCCTAACATGTAGACTTCAGGTGGTGAAAACTGAAACAATATGGTTGCCTCCTCTACAGCGATCCTGGAGCCCACCTAGGCAGCTTTCTCAGCCATAAGATATACTCCATGTTCATCTATGATTGTACAGCCATACACAGCAGCAACCACATTATTAAGTTCACTGATGACACTACAGTTATCGGGCTCACCAGCAATAATGATGAGTTGGAATGAGATGAAGCATCTTAAAAGATGGTGTCTTGATAACAAACGGGCCATGTCAACAAAAGAACTTACTGCATGTGGACGTCACGAGACCAGAAGGAGTCATGTACCAGTCAACATCAAGGGCACAACAATGGAAACTGCCAGCGGCTTCAGATTCCTTGGACTGCAGATCTCCACCAATTTGGCTTGGTCTAACAACACTTCAACTACTCTGGAAGTCCACTTTCTGCAGTGCCTAAAGAAATGCGGTATGGGGAAGCACCTGCTCATGAACTTCTACCGCAGCACCACAGAAAGTGTGCTCACTAGTGACACTTCTGGTAGAACCTGACTCTCAGATGAAATAAAGAGATTATGGTGAGTTTACAAGGTTTAGCTCTAATGACAGAGCAGAGATTCAGCATTCTGAACAGAATTAAATAGAGAGCTGATTACTGTGATTGGGAATTACTGTAGACTGGGAGTCTGATTGAAAGGTTGAAAGTTTCATTTAAAGATGTCCCAACCTAGTTTAAATGACAAGTTGAGTGCTCGTAGGAATGTTGCTGCTGTCATCACGTGCGTCAGGTGATAGGTCCTTGTCCAGTTCATCCGAAAAGACCAGATTGGACCTACTGTATTTGAATCTTGTTAAGAGAGCTTGGTATTCTGTGTTTTTAAGGAACTCTGAATTCCCGAGTAAAGAAATCCTTGATTAAAAACAGCCTCTCCTAGTAATTGGCTTACTACCCTATAGGGAGACAGGTTCCCATTTATTGGGTGTCATCCATGTTTACAAAGAGAGAGAGGTTTAATAGATTGTATTTTATTTAGTTTAGAAGGCAGCTTTATCTTATTCTGGCCTTTGTAGGAGTTATGGGTTTGAATACTTGGTAGCAGTCTGGGATTTTTCTGTGTAGGCCTCTGGAACTCTGTGGTTGTAAATGTATGACTAGAGCATGTTGTATGTTTGTTGTCTGTGTGTTGTTATTTTTAAAATATTTATTTGAAACCGCTGTGCTTGGATTATTACTCTTTTCACCAAAGAGAAGAACAGAGAAGAAAGAAAACACAACCTTTCGGTAAAGAAGGCCCGATGGCCTAAACATTGATTTTACTTTGCAGCCTACACATGGTGACGTACCTGAACTATATATACTGTGTATTCAAAGATAATACTGTATATAACAAGGGTTCTATTTTAGGTGCTAAAGTCCTAACTCTTAGTTCTAACATATAAACATATAAATTCTAATATGAATTTGAAATATTCAACATTGAATCAGTTAACAACTAAAAAAAAAAAAATTCTAATCATATACTGTACACATGCACCCATTCAAAATGCGTTGTAAATGCCCATACTATGTGAAATTATCTGCAGATTAGCGCTGAATACCGCAGTATTGACTGGCCAAAATGACTGACAGGCTGCACTTGTGGTTCATTGGCTGTTAGTGAAACGATTGCATCATTTAATCTCTTTACTATGCATGTTTAAATCTGCTTAATATTGAATATTAATATGGAATTTTACAACAAAAGGGACATTTTGGTAGCTGAGCATAAAAACAGAAGAGCATAACATGTATGAAGGTCATAAAGGATATTAATTTAGGAATATAAACATAAACATTTTATGTAAGCCTATACGCTTACTGTATATGGCTGGTATTTTGTAGTTTAAATAAAAGATACACACCAGTATTCCACTTACTTCATAAACATTTTAAGTAGCAAAGTCTTTCATTTTATGTGTTCCTCCTTACTATATTGAATTTATATACTTTATAAAAAGTCATAATATTTTAGCCTTTTGCATGAATCACAGTAAAAAAACACATTGTTTTTATAATTTGATTAATATGGAAACGTATCTAAAGAAAGTAATAATGATATTTTAGGATTGAATTATATTCATATAGTTTAAATTATTACCATTGTACACTTTCTTTGTAAACATCTGTAAACATCATTAACCCGAGATTACTTGGAAACATTTTGCCCGCCCTTTTCAGCAAGAGCTTAAATTGTCAAGTGGCCCGTTGGGGTAATGGCTTTGACATGTGACTGGCATGCTGGAGGTCAGGGGTTTGATCCCAGGTCTCTCTGTGAATTTTCTTTTAACAAATAAACATTGCTTCAAATTATTTCTAAAATAGTAATTATTATCGACACTATATTGAATTTGTTAGTATTTCTAAATATCACAACACGTTCAAAGTTTAATTATGAATAACAACTAATAATTTCAAACTGCTTGTATTTTAAAATTGTATTTTGTACGGGGTGATTTGTTACTGTTTTTACAACCTTCAATTTATTAAATGTCTATTTTTGGGACAGGGTGTTCCACACCTCTGTTTAATTTCTGAAACTCCCTCTGTTTTCCCTGTTTGAACCTTTTCTATGAATACAAACAAAGCATACTTTTTAGAATTAGACTAATAGGGGATATAATATGGAATCACGTATCTAAAAAAATTAAAAATGATATTTTAGGAGTTAATTACATTCATATACTGTAGCTCAAATTATTACTGTATTCCAATTTCTTTGTAAACTTCTGCATTAATATGACTCATTTACTCACTGATTACATGGAAACATTTTGCCTGTCCTTTTCAGCTATAACCTAAGCTGCTGAGCAGCTTGTTGGCATAATGGCTTCAGTGCATGACTCACATTCTACAAGGTGGGGTACTAATCCTGCTCAGGGGACGAGATCTCCTTTAACAAATATGCATTTAAAGTACGTAATATTATGTAAATTATATTGACATTTTATTTTTATATATCACAGCATCTTCAATAAATACCAAAAACATAAAAATGTAACAGTCTTTGACACGATGGGAAACTGATTCTGTCAAATTTAAAAATCAAAAATAAGAAATAGCGTGTCCCTACCTTAAATTGCATGACTTTAAAATCCATTAAACAACGAAGGGGTTAGATAGTTATTGACACCTTTTATGCACAGTCATCTTAGAATCTTTGTGTAAAATGCATTTTTTAAACTTTTTAATTAAACATTTTGATTTTGTAAACACAACACGCATAACGTACAGAAAAAATATTGACGTTTTACCAATAAGTTAAAAATTGGAACATATTGACACAGGCACACATACACTTATAACAGGGCCAGGTACACTAGAAGCTAATTAACCTACCATTATGTTGTTGGGCTATGGGAGGAAACTGATGTAATTCAGCCTAGAACTGAACCAAGGGCCCCAGTGCTACGAGACAGGGAAGCTAACCCTTGCATCACCGTGCTGCCCAATTACATTACCTCCTAAAATAATGATCAGAAAATGCTAACAGAACATGAGATATTTTTTCCTTTGTATTGTTCTTGGGAGATATGATACTAATCAGCCTATGCTGGTTGTCATAGTTTTCAACATCTGATGTACTGTACATGGCACAGATGTTATTTAATATGGTCAACATTTAATGAGTGCTGGGGTCCCCAATTTAAGACCTAATTTTTTGTACTGCTTGGAATGTGTATTTGTCATGTTGGGTAAATTCTGTGTGCTTTACAGTAGGTATGTACTATACCTGTTGATGCTTAGTCTCCATTGCTAATTAAAATGATATACAGTAGTAGGCAAAGAATTTGTAACTGGGGCCAGGAAAAAATGCAGAATGAAAAATTATACATCTACAGCCAGCTTTCTGGGTCTTCAACTTCAACTTTTTCATTATTGTATATTCTATAGGAAAATAAATGGCAATGAACCTATTAAGGATACATCTGCTTGCATATTTATGCCTAGGATAAGCTTAGGGCTACCCATCCTGACATAATTACTTAAAAGTACAGTATGAATGCTGATTATGAACAGTATCTGTTATTCTTCAGAATGAATAGGACATTTTTTGCTGAAAATTTTGTCATATGTAACATTCAATTTAGTACCAATCAATGAAGACTGGCTGATTTGCTTAGAAAAGGATAAGTAATAATGCTAATCTTTGTTTTATATAACACTTTTAATTGAAATTTCATGGTGCTTTACAGTAATATAGCTGCAGTGAAAAAGTATATGTTAGTGAAGAAAATAAGTTAAAACTGACATGAAACAGAATTAAATGCTACTGTATGAAAATATGTTTTAAGACCTGACAGACTTGCAAAATCTCATATGAGGTGGTATATCATCCCACAGCCATGAAGCAAGAGAACAGAGATCTCCCAGAGAATACTATATTTCGTTGGAAACTGTTTAGGGTGAGAATGCATCCATAATCATATGACATTACAATAAAAATAAAACAGAGTAGTCTCTACTGTCACAGCTTCAGAAGAAGGGGCAGGACTCTTGGAATGACATAGCTGGGTCCCCCACTGGACTAATTTGCCATTAAGTCTCAGTAGATTTTAGGTAAGAAGACACATGCTCATTTATAATCACTGCAATTTGTATTGAAAAGCAAAAGGTCTTTGATTTAGCCCACAGTCATCAGTAGTCTATTCAAGATTTTAATGCAAATCAGAAGTGTTTTAATCTTGACTTTAAAGTGTGAGAAGCGGTATAAGGAATCTATAACTAAAATGGTAACTGAAAAGCTAAAAAACATGCTCATACAATTTAGCTTATTTAGAAAGTATTCTGCTGAGCTTGGAACATGTAACAACAAGCTTAGAAACCGTGGCATTAAAGAAGTACATTTGTAAAAAAATCCTTTATTTTATTATTATGACCAATGAACTGATTTTTAAAATATATGCATTCTATGTTTGTAATGTTTGTAATATACAGTATGTTGTTTTCTAAGAAAAACAGTTAAACAGTTTTTAATTTTGCCAATAGTATCTTTCTGGATTTTGGCCATGAGTTTGTTTCTTAAACTGTATACTGTATCTCCTTTTATAATGCTTTTCAAACAAAACTAATGTATTTGGTTCAATTTAATTTGCAGAGGATAAAATTGAATATGTTTACTATGTAAACCCAAACAATTTGCTGAAGAACTTGTTCTTAGCTGTAAATGTCCAAAATAAGTACATTAAAACATTAAACATTAAACATTAAAAGTACATTAAAATATCTGGTCTTTTATGTTTTACTGAATTAATATTTTAATTAATGCAAATATGTACTGTATTTGTGGCTTCATATCATTTGAGCAAATTTCTATTTTAAATACTATATTATTTTCTGCTCCTCACAGTTCCTATATATACTGTGCTTATACATTATACATGCCTCTATGTGTCCTTTCCTTTTAATCCCACTGGATGGGGCTATAGCACTGTGCCTCCAGTTATATGAATCACATCTATAACAATTTACACCACAAAAATGGCTGCCAAGAAGCTCCTCAGATCTTTAAAAATGTCCCAAAATGCTCAAAAAGTTTTGCTGACAAAGATCTTGATGCATCTCACAATGGCACATGCTTTAAAAAGACACCGCAATGTCAAATGAACTTTAAGGTTCATATTTTATAATATTCCTTTATTTAACCAAATAAGTCAATTGTGAACATTTTTATTTACAATGACAATGGATAATACCCTTTCATACAGGAGGGCATTTTGCTCAAGCAATCTAAGTATATTACTTAACCTACTAAGATTCTAAAACAGTGCGTTAAACCAATTTCCCCCCACTTACAGTATAAGTCCAGCGACCTGACCATGCTCTGAAACTCAAGCTTATTTTTAGATTACTCACAGCTCCTGCGTAGATTACGAAATCCATGAAAGATAAAATTTATTTTTTAACTGAAATTTGTTATACTATACATACATAGACTGCAAAGCACTGGCTTAAATCACATTTTAAGGTTGTTGCAGGTATTAGAATCCCCAATATCATGGAAATCATGTTAACATTTTTTGTTCCAGCAATTATTCAAAATACAGCATGCTTACATACAGTAAGATAAGTACTAGTCTTACAGTCATGGCACCAATACGTTATCTTATACATACAGTAGAGACTGGTGAGGCAGATACATCACTGTGTGTTACAGAATGCATTAAAATGTTAGAATGATGATACAAAATGAGAATGGATAATGAAGTGTACCACTCTTTCTCTGAAAGCATATGACTGTACCTTTTTACATTTTTCCCCAATCTGTAACTCATGAATTCAAGGCTTACTATCACACAGTACGAATACAGATGGGCAAATTACCTTTTGTTTTCCTTCAAGTTTACTTTTAACAAAAATGGATGAGGTAAACTTAGTACCTAGAACTGATATTAGATATTCAAGACCCACAGTCCCACAGGATATTCCAGATAATGGTTTATTCCATGCTGAAAGGAAAAGGAAAAAGACACAATGTTTTGGCTTCTTCAGGTGTGATAGATTTCCACAGCCGAAATGTTGTCTCCTTTCTTTTACTTTCAGCATCGAATAACCCTTTACGTGTCCCTTTGCAGCCTACGCATCGGGATGCAGCTACGTACTTCAACTTCTTTATAACAACTGGAAGCCATTTGGATCACCTGATTTGTTTGGTATCACTAATAGATTGATAATTTATTTGTGCTAGTGCTAGAATATTCTAGAATATGTGCTAGAATATTCTAGTGCTAGTAGCCTAGAATATTCTCCATCTGTTGAAGTACATCAAAGTGTGGGCTTCAACATTATTTATTCTGCTGAGGTACATTTATTTGACCAAATTAAACACCTTCTTGCAACCAAATGAGCTTGAGAATCTGAGAGGTCTCTTCTCATTTGTGAACAGTCTTCTGCTCATTCTTATGTTCTTCTTGTTTTATCTGGATGAATGTCATAATTAATACGTTGAAGAAAAGCAGAAAAAAATATGACATCCACATTTGTCAAAACAATAAAACCCTCATTAATGTTTATGCACACCAGATTTTCTACAAATAATATATACATATTTGATAGGTATTAATGCCACATCTGCAAACCTCCACTTTGAAGATAGTGTTCACTTTTGTTTGTTCAAAGTCAACAAAAGTCAACAACTTTTTAAAAATATGTTTAGTTATGGGGAAGGTACCAAGTATGTCTCTAAATCAAGAGCATTTTACATTTATACATTCACCTGGACATATAAAATGTATTACCTATGAGTCAAACTATGACTAAAGCCAGAATTTAAAAATGTTATTGAGTTTACATTTCAATACTTCTTTTTCCATTTAGAATTTTTCCTTTTAGAAGAATGCTTTAAGTAAATAAATTAGTTTCAACACATAAAAAACTATAAGTAAACCAGCATATCTGAATTTATATATTTATTTATCCAGTCTCTTATATGTAGGATTGTACTGAAATGAGGTTCATCATATCAATACAGTTTCCTTGCATTTCAATGGGTACAAAGCAATGTGAAGACATGCCATTTTAATCATAATGAGCTAAGAAGATGTTTAATTAAATATTTATCAAAGAAACTCTGTGACACTCGACAGCATATCAAAAGCAAAAGTATGTAATCTCTTTACTGCCTCATTTTGGCCATTACCTTCATTAGGGTACTAGTAACATTTCAGGAGCACATTAAATAAAGAATTTTACTTCTGATATACATTTGAGTGTTGAGTGTTGCTGAGTTACTTTTGTGAATGTTAAGTTTCTGCTTCATTCACCTCTATGGGTTTATCACTTTTTTTCTATTAAAATAATTTATGACATGATATAGTTATTAACATTAACACAGAACAATGCTTCCAGTCTAAGCAATATAAGTACTAATGCTCCCAAAGTACAGTACCTAGTCTTCTATTAGATAAGAATTTACAGGATATTTTTAGATCATATACAACTTTTTAACTTTGATGTAGTGTGTACACTCAGCTATCTTCTTATTGAATACATTAAATATAAAATGTCCATCGAATAAAAGGTATTTTTCTGTCCATAGTAACTCAAAAATATTGTCCTCAAGGCAAATCCCTTCAGTCTTATTACATTTTTTCATGTATCCAATGCATGTCTAGGCGTTCGACGGTGTTCTGCTCTTGCTTTTGGTCGCCTGTCTTGTGGATGAGTATATTTCCATTTAGACTGCAGTGCCTTAAGTTTTTTGTGCTTTTTGTCAGTGCACCAAACCTTCTCGCAGTATTCCTCCACTTTATGAAAATTGCTGTATCCAATCAGCTGGAGGAATTCTTTGTACCAGAGTTTGGTGGAGCCTGGAGCAATGACAGGTGGTACTGGACACGGGGCTTTTAGATGACTCTCGTCTTCCTCCTCTCTGTGGAACAGATCCTCAATACGATCCTCTTCAAGGATCTCCAAGGTAATTCTTGTTACAGTTTGCACAAAACCATGCTCCACAGTCTGACAAAGATAGGTTCCTGCATCCGTTTTATGCAATTCAAGAACCAAGAGACCATGTTCTGTTTTTATGATTCTGTCATCTGTTTTAACCTAAGATTATAAAACAAACAAAAAAAAAAACAGTTCACTACAAGACTTGAATACAATTACTCTTTTTTTTCTGGAGGGGGGGGGGGATTTGGAAAATCTATCTTTTCAGTTTTTGATTGGTACTTATATATATTCTTTGTTAGCAATACTTATCAAAAGTACAAGTAATAGGTTTATTCCATGCTGTGGAATACAGCATGGAATAAACCTATTATTTGTTCCTTTGCAGCCTACGCATGCTGACGCAGCTACCCACCTGAACTTATCAAAAGTATATTATATGTCAAATGTACATATAATAAAATATATTACATATTTAGGAACAAGCAATAGGTTTATTCCATGGTGAAAAAAAAGAAGAAAGAGAACACATATATATATATAATATATATATAAATATTATATATTTATATAATTTTAAAATATATTCAAAGAAATTGAAGGTAAAAAAATGTTCATATTCATATTATTAATTTCCTGTTAACTGCCTTAACACAGCTTTTGTCTCAAAATTTTCTCACCTGGAATTTCAGACTTAACTGTCCTTTTGTTATCTTTATGCAGCACACATTGTGTTTATAACTCTACATTATTTTGAACATGCTGTATAACAGGAGCTTACAACATCAAATATAATAAGAAGTGTTTTTCTTCCATTGAGTAAGAGAACAAAATATTTTCTTTTAATACAAACATTTTAACATATCCTATTTTTGAATCTCTTTAGGAACCTCATTACTAATTCCTGGTAGGGTTGTGGCAACCTGGAGTCTGTAACCAAAGCATAGGGTGCAAGACAGGACAGGGCACCAATCCATCACAAACAGGCCCACACATAAGGATAAGTTAGAGACACCAATTAACCTAATCTGTATATCTCTAGAAGGTGTAAAGAAAACTGAGCAATGGAAAAAACCTACATGAATATACTGTAGTAGAACAGTATTAACAGTCACACCACTAGTATTCAGTACTCATTTTGTATTCGGTGGTAAAATCAAACTGCTTTTAGAATTTGATTTCCTGTTTAATATGTAAAAACTAATCTTACTTCTTCCTTCCTTATGTCAGACCCCCTTTGTATAAACCATAGGACTTTGGCCTGAAGAGATCTTGGAGTACATTCAAGCAGCGTACTGTTATGTTCAACTCCATAAACCAGTTTCACCTCAGACTTCTCCAACTCATCTCCTGAAAACAAAAATAATAAACACGATGCACACTGTGAAATTACAAATTAGGTTGACATGTTTTTAAAATAAAGGAAAAATTAAATAAATAATCACCTTTTATGCATTTTCAAATAAATGTTGTACTCCACTGATAGAGGTAACTGTTTTTTATTTGTTTTTCTCTCTTCAGTGTATGTCTCAGCATGGAGGCATTAGTGCTCTCTGATTTCAGACATTCTGTCTAGGGTTTCCCATTTCTGTCTCTCCAATTTGTTTGTTAATACAGATACTGTACTGTATCAAGAGACACTTCTTCATATAATTTTCCTGTTAATCTTCATGTTGATACAGTACATCAATTTTGAATGTACTGTACAGTCTATAAAATGCAAGACTGTAATCATTTCGATGAGTCTTTAATTTTTGTCTTTTTGTTAAAGGAATAAAAACTAAAATTTGTACTTCACAAAAACTGTGATTTTAATGAATAAGGTAAAAAGACCCCTATGGTCAAAATTATGTTACCTTATATGATTAAGTAAATGATTTTTTTGTCATGAGCCCATTTGAGCATTAATGCCAGTTTTTTTATTTTAACATTGTTTATCCATATGCAAGAAATTGTTGAACATTGAACTATGCAGCATTGCAGAATTTCTGTATGACATGGGCTGAAATTTACCATTGACTTTCTCATGTTTCTACCAATTTGTTCATGTATCCATAGCTCATATAATTTCATAGAATATGGGGGTTGTGCAAAGTTTTTGATAGCAGGATGGAAATTGATGGTAAATAGCAGATTTGCTGTTTTCAAGTACCCTCTCCATGGAGAAGGATGTTTGCTATATTGAAGGCGTGGTTATGGAAGGCAGACTTTTGACATTTTCTGTCATGGAAAATGAGCTCATTGTTTCTCTGGGAACCATTCATAATATTGTTGTTCTGCAAAACATGTACTGTACCTCATTGGTATGTGCTTTAGTATGTTATCTTGGGTGGAAGTTGAAGGATAGATTATTCCTTTTTCTTAGTTCCTTTCCAGTACCTATTTACTATATAGTTTGAAACTGAGAGTAACGTGCAGCTGGCAGTGACTTACAGAATTTGCTTTGTTTGGAATAGTTGATCTTTTGGTGCAAGAGACTAGAGGACTCTCTCAGAGAACGTTCTTATGTTGACACTGGTTGGAGGTGTCACTTTTCTCTCACTAACACTGTTGAAGACCCACAGAGGTGACTGTTGCGTGAAAATGGGCTTGACAGGGCTGGACACCCTAGGAAACCACGTGGAACTCAGTCTAGCCAAACCTTTAGGTCACAAATAAAAATTCCACTGGATCTGAAGACCTTGATAGTTTCAATTGCATTTATTTCTGGATCATAACTTCACACAAAAGAAAATCTGTTGCATAACAAATAAGAATTTGTGACTTAAAATGGGAAAAATATAAAAGTAATTATTTTGTCTGCATACTTTATAATTGACCTTTCTTCAGTTTTAAGAGTACCCACCATTCCTCTGTTGTCCACTGCACTGTTGAACAGCATTTCCATGACGGACATCTTGTCTACGGAAACGCCTGTAACAAATGTTAGTTGATAAACAATGCTGATATAATATAGATATATTAAAAAATATATACCAGATGATGCTATATATTAATGATGATGTTTTAAACATTTGTATAACATTAAAATGTTGTACATAAAAATAAACCAATAGAGGTCAATATCTCAATATACTGTACAGTAGAACTCATTAAACCATGGCAAGAAAGAATAAATCCATTTCAATAGCTTAAAATTAGTATTTGGTAGTGGAGTAATTGAACAGTGTGGTGAAAAAAAAGTTGTTCTCCTTAAGATTTATTATATAGTTTAAACTATATAAATAAAATTGTTTAACATATTTAGACATACTGCACTTGACCTTCACCAGTGCTCACCAAATCGTACTATTGATAAAACTAACCTCACTTGACAAAACAACGCACAAAAATTATACTTTGTTATTACTCATTTAAAAACAAATCAGCCAGTATTCACTATATTTGTGTGAAGGAGAAAATGCACAATCTCTCAATGTGTTTAGGTCTGGACTGGCCATTTCAAAATCTCAAATTTCTCATTTATGAACCGTTCTGTCATAGATTTGCTTTGGATTATCGTCTTGTTGCATTATCAACTTAATGATCAGGTTCTGCTATCAGACAGATAGCCTCACATTTCTTCTAGAATCTTCTGGTATAGTGTGGAATTCATGGTAGACTCAATTATTAAGTCAACTAGGTCCTAAGGCAACAAAACAGGCTCAAACCATCATGTTACCACCACTTTTTTTCACCAGACATTATATTATGGTCATGTCTCATAACTCTTTAACTCATCTTTCATGAGCACATTGTTCCCGAAGTCTTGTTATTCATTCAAGTGCTGTTTTGCCAACGTAAGCCATCTAGTAGTGTTCATCTTGGAGAGAAGGGGGTTCCTTCTGGCAATGCTTCCATGACAGCTATTCTTATTCAAGATTTTCCTGACAGTGGACTCATGATCTTTGACATTTACCATAGTGAGAGACTATAATCCCTGGATTCCTTGGGGTTTTTAGAGACCACAAGGAATATCATAAAGTCAGATCATGAAGTTAATTTGGTAGGATGGCCACTCCTGGTTAGATTGTGAATGGTCTTGAAACTTTATCATTTCCAGATGATCTTTTGACTGTGGAATGATGGACTTTATATTGTTTGGTAATGGCTTTCTTACCCTCCCCAAACTATAAGCAGCAACAATTCTTTGTCTAAAACTGTCACAGATTACTTCTGATCTGAGCATGATGTGTTACCACAAACCTGAGACAAAGTTTATGATTCACTTCCTGGTTATTTCCACATGCTGTGGTACACCTAATTTTACATACATGGTAGAACTAAGGGTGCACTTACTTTTTTACACAAAGATATTGAGCGCTGCCAGGATTTTAAAAATAATATAATGACAATGTAGAATTATTGTGTTATTTGTCAAATGAGGTTGGTATTATCTACTGTTAGGTCTTGATGAGGACTGGGTGAAAGTCAAATATGTCTAAATATTTAAACCTTATACAGTACTTACTTTTTCACCACTGTACATTGATGAAGAAGCAAAGATTGAATTAAGTCTTTCTTTATCAGAAATAAACTGTCGAAATAATCTTACCTTTTAGTAAACTGCCCAGCTGGATAATACCTGGAACAGGACATACCATCCCAGGCACAGTAAGGGTCTCTGGCTAGGCAGCAGTCAGCACATGCAGATCCATACAGGTCACACTGATGAACCTTCACTTGAGCTATTCCAGACTCAGAGCCAATGTAAAGCTGTTGCTGTAAGTATCATCAATGGAACAGAAGTACATTCATTTATAATATATGTACAGCAACATTTGTAGTCCAAATACTTCAAAGACTGTAAAAAGTTTAGTTTACTACAAGTACTGTACTATAATTAATAATAACAATTGCTTTCACTTATATAGTGCTTTTCTGTACACTCCACTCAAAGTGCTTTACAGGTAATGGGGTCTCCCCTCCACAACCACTATATTTTAGGCCATGAATAAGATAAATACTGTAACAATTTCAGTAATTTCCTTTACTTGGATATTTTCTGTTGTTTAAATGTCATTGTAAACATCTTATGTAGCTTGTTTCCATGCAGTATAGAAATATCTCCCAGGATATTAGGAGAAATGCCAGTGCCCGTACCCTTTTGGCAGAGATCTCCATTTCTGTGATTGATACTGGAACCTGAAAAGAACATCAATAATTATAGTTTTTGCATGTATAAGGTTGGCTTATTCCTAAAATAACATTTCTTATGAGTTATATTCCATTTTATCATTTGGCAAAACTGCCATGGACTGGCGCCCCATCTGGGGTGTACCCTGCATTGAGCTTGTTGGTTGCCGGGTAGGAACTGGCTTCCCGCGACACCGTATGGTATAAAGCAGTTTGGCAAATGACATGACATGACATGCCATTTGGCAAAATAAAGCATTAACTTTTTGAGAAAACATTTATTTTTCCTTTGAAAGATTTTTATTCTTTCATATCAATGACACTGTATAGTGTCAGCTGCTCTCAAAAGAAAACAACAATATTATATTTAATGAAGGTAAAATATTCAAACAAAAATGCATCATAATCACAACTACTAATAAATGCTGGCTCACAAGAGGAAAATATTTAGCCTTCCTGTAAATGCTTTAGAACAAACATACCTTGAAAACACTTAGCTGTTCAAGAAGAACTTCTTCCATGCTGTCTCTTTCCTTGTTATATATTGTTATCAATTTTAAGACAATTCCTTTATCTGGAAAAGAATAGAGTACAGTAACCTATGTAGTAATTAAAACATAATAAATATGATTTCATCGACATTCATTAAAGAGAAACATACTGTACTTGACATCACAAAAAAAACAAAGTACTAGATAATTGCTAGTACAATAAGTAATTACTAGATATTCCATATGCTGTCTAATTATATACAGTGTTCTATGCCTAAACTCGCTGGCCTGAATATTAGGAACATGCACCAACTAACAAGTGGGGGAGGTGCATGGGGGTCTGTGGGTAGCAAGAGCAGTTTGAGCAAGACATGACATATTTTCCACAAGTTTTGAAAAACCTCGTAGTGTCACATTCTTCCATTAGGGTTACCTTCAGTTCAGGTTGTGATGAGAGAAAAGGAAAAACAGACAGATCTGAAACTTGTTCCAGTCAGGAAACTTGATTGAAGCCAGCCTTTTGCTTCTCGACCTTACATTGGGTATTACCGAGAGAATGCATTTGTTGGAACTGGTGGTCCTAATCATTTGCCTAGTCAGTGTAATACAATTGAGTGTAATCTAAAATGTATTTCTGCATTACTTTACTTATGTTGAGTCCATAATGGGATTCTTACATGTACTATAAATAACACTGATGATCAAAAACTAGGAAAGAGACTAGCAGATTAAAATAAATTAAATCAGCATGCAAATTAAAGCACAAACTCTCTGAGTATCAGACATTAGTGTGCTAACAAGAATTGTGAAAAAGTCAAGGGTTAAGCTCTAGTTGGGGCACTTCTTTCATACCATAACTATTTGCCATTTGTCATCCATCTCTGGATGAGACATCAGTGCATCATAGGGCATATACACACTCACATTGGGGCCAATTTTTACAGAAACCAATTAACCTAAAAGTATGTCTTTTGAATGTGAGAGGAAACCAGAGCACCAGGAAGGAAACCTACACAAACACATGGAGAATATAGTGTACATATTCCAAGCAGAATTCTGGAATTGAACCCAGGACCATCGTGCTACAAGGCAGAAATGTTAACAACTTTGCCATCTTGCCACCCATCATTTGTTTATGCAACTAGCAAAGAAAATGATAGTGGTTCATAAATGGACAAAATATACTGTACGGCCACAAAATACAATTCCCTCACAAAGCAACATTACTTATACTGTATACTTTTTAAAGACACTGATATATTTATCAAGCATTAGATAGAGAACACATTTGTACTGATTTAAAACATGCTATTACAACTATAAGAAGTTATCAAACATTTATTTTTAAAAATATATTGTTTAACTTAGAATTGTCATTTTATTTTACATTTTATATCCTCCCAATTTTGGACCGGTCAGTTATTTACACACTTTGCTCAGCACTAAAACCCCTGTTCTTGTGAGTCTTTGACACTCATAAGCCAGAATCATTCATAAACTAACACCCTGTGAGATGTTCATTGCTCTTAAGGATAATTTGCACCAACTGGAGAAGCAGTGAATTTCTCAAACCTGTCAAAGCTGTCATTGCTAGCTCACATCAAATCCCAGATGTCATTATTATTCTGAGAACTAAAAAAAAACTCTTGGCCAACTGCAGCAGAGCAGCTGGATCTGGGAGTATCAGCGCAGGTTTGAGCAACTAGCAGACAGCTACGATCCAGAGATAGAAAAGTGCATTAATGCAGGGTTATTAGATTAAATGAATCCAGCTTATTGTCATCAGGTTCTTCTATAAAGTTTTGTGGTGAGATAAGTACTGTAAGTTAAAAGTCTAAACTTGTGATAATGATAGACTGGTAAAGTCTTATGGTGAGACAAGTGTGGTGGGTTAAAAGGTAAAGTCTTGTGGACAGACATAGCAACTAAATTAGCTTCAGAGTCATCCTATTAATTGAGGATGGATTAAGATCAGTGCCTGTCAGCCCATATTAAAAAAGGTACTGTAGGGTAAGGCTGGGGGAGAAAGATAAAGGCCAGTAGGTCTTGGACTGTAGTAGAGTTGCAAGCTTGTTAACACCAGAGTTGGTCTGGTCTCAGCCCCAGCTTCATATTTTCCACATAGTGAAAGGGGTTAATGTTGAAAGGTCCTCCAAAGTCCCATTACTGCTTAAAGAGGATTTGCCACACCAATTAAAACCCATACACCCTAGACTGTGCTGAGCCAGTTGTGCATCATCGCTAAGGGAATCCAAAACACAGTAAGCTAGCTGTGCAAGCTCGAACTGGACTAAAGGGCTCAATGCACTCACTCTGAACTCAGACCAAACATCTTTATTGGTTGAGCCACTTGAGAACTCCAGCAGTTCTTATTAAAGATGATTGGATGTTCAAATTACATAAATATTTCATTTTCCTTTTGTTTTGATCACAATAACTGTGCAGTCATAGGCTAGAGCAAACCTGCTTTTTATTAGAGATTCAACAAAAAAATCATGATATAAATTATGTCTGTTTGTTGTTTAGGGTTTATTCTTGCTAGGCTACATCATTTGCAAATGTAAAATTGAATATTAATTCCAGGGTTTGAATTTTGCAAAGTTCCTTCACTCTATTTTCTTTTAATGTTATCTAGTTTTATTCTGATAAGACAACATGCTGTTTGATTATTTTAAACTTATAAACTGATTATTATGTCTTCTGCTTACCTGTTCCTATAAAAATAACATTATAGTGTCCATCTTCTGCTTCAACTCTGTCCACAGCTATTTGTTTGAAGTTTTGCTCCCCATCTGTCTTAAGGAGAATTGGTCTTTTGTGTACAGGATGGATAGACTGGTACATTATAGGGTGAGCACGCACAAAGCGCAGCACATCGTCTGGATAATCTTTGGAGCTAGAGAACATACCCCCATTCATCTTACTGGCACACTAGGAGAAAATAAAAATAAAAAATAAGAGACTTTTAGAAATAGGCCAAATAATTTAATGTTTGTATCAAATGGCATAGAGAAATAATAATAATAACAAACAATCATTTTAAAAAAAGAAACTATTTTAACAGACTCAAGTTCTTTCAGTCAACTAAGCACCCTTACAGGAGTGGAGAAAGAACATATCAAAACACAAATATCTAAAGCAATTAAAAGGTGTATAGGATATTACTACTATGAAAGATATTTTTAAATAAATAACACAAAAAGAAAATGTACAAACAGGGACTGGTGCAGAAGAGTTGAATAAAAGAAGCATTTATTCAACCAGTAAAAGTGAAATATATTTTAAATAAAGTAAGAAGTGAACTTTGAAGTGGTTGCATAATCTTAAAAGGTATTTAATTTTTCTACTTCTTTAAGTGGAGATATCAAATTTAGCTCTTTGACAAAGTTGAGATACTTCCCTTTAATATGAAAACATCGAACAAATATGTTTTTACAGAAAACAGCTGCTACAAATTTGGACATTTATAGGCTGAATGTCAATGAAGATAGAATTGAACTGTATACTGAACGTCAGAATAAACATTTCTATTCTTGCATGCACGTTTTAGATACTAAAGTATACAGATTTTTAATGTTGATTAGATGTTTCTGATTATTCATTACAAATGATTTTGTTGCATGAGCACTAAATGCATTAGTGAGAGTAGATAGCACATGGATGGTGAGGTAATTTACAGTAACTCATTGATTGTCGTGAGTGTTGAAATCAGAAAAAAACAGAGAAAGGATGTCACGCCTATAAAGAGAAAAATGCTGTTGTATCATCAGTATGTTGAAGGTTGGACTAAGCCAGTGCATTGTGTCATAGTAAAGTGGGAGACCACAAGTCATGACAATTAATTGAAATCAAAATATCTTTATGCTCTAGCTTCACGGTCACTTTCACATGTGTACTGTATGAATAATTCAACTGCATAGAAGCAGCTAAACAGTCAACATTTTCAAGTCAGGTGACCATACAGGACCTCAGTACTCACAGATCTTAATCAGCAAAACAGAAAGAGATCATATGGGCAACATATCAATGGGACTCTCTAGCAGTGCAGCCAAGTCCTCTATAGTTTTGTGCAGAATATCATAAAAAACAGTCTGAAGGATGGTCAGCAAAAGAAATGCAGGCACGCAGAACAATACGCTAACTGTTTTGTACAACATAACAACCACTTGGAAGCTAAAGTGTAATGGTCAGGGCAGGAGTCTGTAACTACTGTACTACTTGATCAAGTCCTTGGCTCGACTAGCAGTTCTCCTTTTAGGATCAATCTGAGATGACAATTCTAGTTGGATAACATCACACCTTCTGTGACACACCTTGTTATTTAACAACATTTTACTCTTGAGATGAGAAAATAATAGTTGGTCCATTGACTACCTGCTTCACCAACTTTATTAACATTTGTGAAATGAGTTCGGACAACAATTTATTCAGGGCCCAGAGACCATTCTATAAGACAGTATCACCTACATGCTGCAAAGTGTGCATATTAGATATACAGATGTTATTTCTTTCAACAGCAGCCACACACTTTACTGGCCTGTGACTTTTACAATATACAGTATATCAATAATATCAACTAGTTCAATCTGTACAGTAGCACTTCCAGCTCCTTCCTCAGCTATCCCATCCTTTGAATATTTTAAAAGGGTCTCTAATGTTGTACTGTTGGCCTTTATTTAGAAAAAATAAAACCTCTACATGTTCCTTGGATCCTATTGCTAGTGTACATCATTCAAGACTGGAGCAATCTCTGCTAAAGACAGCTGCTGATACTCCTCTCTTGAAGAAATCCAACCTTCTCTCCAGTTACAGGCATACTGTATATTCAACCTCATCTTAATCTCAAAGGCTCTTGAAAAAGCAAGAACTACAGTTTCATATAAGATCCTACCATCTCTTTAAAACATTCCAGTCAGACTTCAGTGGACACTGTGGACCTCAGTTTTTTTTTTTCTGCAGAGACTGAGGGACTATGTCGGACTAAAGAGGAATACCTCTAAAATAGTTTACCTCCTATCTTGCCAACAAACACAATTTGTCTTTCTGGGAAATCAAGAAGAGAGATACCACTGATTTAGAGTGTCCTCTAGGGGGTCAATATTGTGTCCCATCTTGTTCCTCATTTACAATGCTTTATGTGTTCCCTCTAGGTTAGATCACGCAGCGTTGGGGCACTATCACAGCTACACAGATGACACACAGCTATATATTAATACCAAACCTGAGTTGTTCTCTGCCTTGGAAAATGTAACCAGTTGTCTGGCAGAGATCAGGATATGAATGAGCAAATATTTTCCAATGTTTAATAGTGCCAAAACAGAGGCCATGCTGATTGGAATGGCTAAAAAGATTGCTATCTCTAACAACCGCAGTCCTGTCATTGATGGAAGTGTTATCTCCCTATCTTAAGTGGTCTGCGATTTGGGTGTAAAACGTGATGATGCTCTCAATTTTGGGGGGATCACATAAAAAATATCCTTAGGTCTTCATATTTCCATTTGAAAAATATCTCCCAGTTAAGGTCTGAATTTTGCCTTCATTTCATCTTGCCTGGATTATTGTAATGGTCTCTTTTGTGTAGAGCAAGGGAGTCAGACCTTATCACTACTATTCTAGCAAAGCTCCATTTGCTCCCCTGTGCATGAGAGTTTTAAAGTATGGCTCCTGGTTTTTTTAAGGCTCTAAAAGACAAAAGTCCCATGTACCTTTCAAACTTCACCCCAGTCTTTCAGATCAAGTTTATTTTATCTGCTGCATGTCCCCAGAACCAAACTACAACTGTCCCTTCTCTGTCTGTGCTCCTTGTTTGTGAAATAACCTCCCAATCATTTCAGATAAGCAATTTTAACTGAGACCTTTACAAGAGATCTTGAAACAATTCTCTGTCAGCAAGCCTATCAATTTCTGGTACTACAACTTTTTGATTAACAATCCTTTTCCTTCTTAGTGCTCTTTAAGTTCCTTGACTTCTCTTTTAGCTTTTTATGTGTATCCCAGTGAGATTCACTGTAATGAAATGTGCTATATAAATTTAAGTTATTGTTATTTAACATACTGTAAGTCTCCCTGTTGATTAACTATTCTGTTTACAAATATTAATAAGCATAATGAATTGGCCCATATAATGTCTGTTCAATAAAATGTTAGTCCTACTGAAAAAATCTAAAACTTAAAAAAGTTATTTTGTGGTTTCAGATTTTAAGCTTTTTCATGCCCATTATATCACTTTCCTAAAGAGTTTGCATACATATTATCTTTGCTAATAAAAAATAATACATTTAGTTGCAAGATAAATAGTATAAGTGTACGTCTTATTCTTTCCAGGCAGGGAAAATTCCACTGTTGTCTTAGTTTTCTTAAATACAGATAGCATAACATGAGGGGTGAAAAAGAGAGGGTACAGTATATATATATAATGTTACAGTACTATGGTACTATTATTAGATAAATGGAATCCGTCTTAGGATAAATACATTTGATTCTGCATTTAAAACAATGGTCTTCCAACAGCTTTCTATAAAATAATATTGTGTGGAAAAAGCTCTATATTTATGAAAAAAGTATTGTGTTCCACCAGTTATCCATGTACTGTAAGTTTTCATTTTTCATTCCTAGATGTACTGTAGGAAAATTGAAATACATTTGTACAGAATAAAGTAATAACATCACAGAGCACAATCTGTGTTTCTTAAGGAAAAAAAGTACTCTGTGTCCTGACAAAAGGGTGTGTCAGCTGTCAACCATGACTGTACTAACGCATAAAATGTCCATGTGAGATGATTGAAATTTCCAATTACTGCCAAAAGATTAAAATTTGTATGAAAAAGAATTATATTTAAATAAAAAAACATTTTAGTCTGTTTTCAATATAACATTATTATGGTATCATTTAAATGCCTATTTTACAAGACGTTCCAGGGTTCTTAAAGGCGTTGACTTAAATGACAAACTGGATAAATCCTGCATTTTAAACCACATATTCCAATCAGTCAGATGAAACTAGATCTGACCAGATACCGAGGGGAAGAAAAGAGCCCTCTGGTAGGAGAGATCAATCTATGACAAAGCCATAACATTTCCCCTTTTCTTCGCTTTTCATTTTTAATCAGTTAAGTGAGTTCCCAGTGCCATAATGAATAAAGACTTCTGTTTATTGCAGTTTGGATTATGTTTCTAGCATTTCAGACTACATACTTAAACTTGCAGAAACAGATTGATTCTGTGTATCACATGTACTGAAGTTGATATTTCAAACTACTGGCAAAGTCACACTTCAGTTCTGTTCTACAGTGCAAGAAAAGGGGAGATTATATTTTGTAAGCAATCGCACAAATGCTTTTGATTTACACTATAGCATATAAAGTTAAAAAGTAAAAGGAAACCACAACCTTTCAGTGTATTTAACTTTTATTAACATCTTGTGAATCAACATTATACTAGAGGGTTCTGGCAGGTTCTGTATGCTTGTGTTGCAATGAACTGTGGGTTTGGCTACAGACTGCTGGACTGGCTTAAAAAATGATTGTAACTGTTATGATGTGAGTTTCATGTTGCCTGTTCCATGCTGTGTAACTGGGCAAAGTGTTGTTTTGTTTTTCCTGAGAAGACAGAGTACTTTTCACTATGTACTACATACTGTATACGATTCTGCATATTCTTCAAATGCACTCTTCAATCTGTTTGTTGCCTTTCCTAAGAAACGCAGAATCAATCACATCTGATTCTCACCACTAGATGATGCTGCTTCTCACAATATACATGTAAATGTAAAGTGTTAATTATCATTATTATGTATTTGCATTTGTCTTGATCCATGGAAACATGAAAGATATGCAATGTTGCAATTCTATTTAAGCAAAAAAAGAAAGAACCCAAGTAAAATAAACTAATTTAATACAATGTTGATGAGGCTAGAATAAATTGGAAGTGCCAATTTCAAGTAAATTCAAGTTCCAGGGAAAGCACAATAAAATAGTAATAATTAAAATAATGTAAAGCAGGATGATTATTAGAATTGTGATCTACACTGATAAACCAAGAGTTAGAAGTAAAAAGTAAGCCACAGTCAAATGTTAGTATATAATCTTACTGATCCAGGCCTTGGAAAAGGAACTTTCCCTTCAAAGAATGTCCAGTGATACTCTGGTTGTTCTTTGTGTGCGTATGGCCCATTGAAAGCAGCACGGATATCGTTCATGTGGTAGACACACACAGCGTATCCTTTAAAAACATTGCTATAGGAAAAAAAGAAATGTAAAAACATTATTATAATTAAAAGGAGATTTATTCTGAGCAGGAGTGACATATAAATAGGACAATTTAATTCAGAATAATGAATGAGCAAATGGATTTCTATTTGTTGAAAGGTAAGCAAAGTAATGTACTTGTACTGTACATGAACTCATAAGAAAAAGTACTGATACCTTGTTGTGCTGAATAAAGCAAAAATCTCAGGATTCTTTTCATCCTTCTTCTTCAGCAGGAACACATCCTCTAAAAGACATGTATGAAGAAGCTTTAAAAAGTATACATTTAAATTAATGTTTCATGTGCATTGACCCAAATGAGCTAAACAGGTGTTTTCTATTTCTTCCTTGCTAGATATGTGACAGCACAGTAGGGTACTGACTGCCATGGAAGTCTTGACTAAGTCTAATCCAGATATATCTAAAGCATAATGTTTTGTCAGAGCTATGCCATAGAATATCAGTATTCACATATTACATTTTCCTTAATATTTGTTTTGACAACTAGACTTACTAAGAACTTGGAGTTTCATTAAATCATTGGAAATTACAGCAGATGTCTGACTCAGAGGTAGCAGAGGGGTGTAGTAGTTACGACTCTGGAATCCAGACAGGAGAGTCATGGGTTTAAAACCTGAATGGAATGCTACTGTGCCTTTGAGTCATGTTTTTTCAACGTAAATTGCTATAACAAATTCACTGCTGTGTAAACTGGTACTCTCCAAGATATAATTGTGAATGAGAATTTACTCTGTTGAAATAAAGAGTTAATTTTAAAACTAAAGACTGTCAGAGCAAAATGAAAACAGTGTTTAAAGTGAATTTGCTCCATATTATGTTCAAAAACAGCATTTACCAAGCTCATCAAAATATGTATCAATCCCATTGGTCCCAGGCACAGAACAGACCAGTCGTGATTTTAGGAAGGAAGTCCATTTATTCACCAACATCCTCTGACCTCCTAGGTCATTCTGAGTGGAAAGGACAAAAATCATGTGTAAAATACATCTATAGAAGATTGAAATCTTGACTATCAAAATTGAAAGATAACAGCAATAGTAAGGTGGTCTGGTTTCTGGCATTGCACCTGTGTAAAGCATGTAATTCTTATCAATTTATTATCACCTCATCCTTTTTCTAACCACTTCAGGGTTGCGGGGAAGCAAGTGTCAACAAGCAACGTGCTTAAGGCAGGATAGAGCCTTCCAGTCCAATGGGGAGCAAACAAAGACACAAACATGCACATGATCACATCAGGGCCAATTTTCTCAGAAGCCAATCAATCTACAAGTATGACAACTGTGTCTTTGGATTGTTGGAAGAAACCAGAGCACCTGGAGGAAATCAACGCAACATGGGGAGAGCATACACAGATAGTACCTTAGAAATCGAATCCCTTGTTTAAAGCTTCTAATAATGATATACTGTATTCTAATCTTTCCTTCTGTAACTTACCACATATAAGGATCTACTGCTTTGACAGTTTGGAATAGCAGTCTTTGGTATAGTTCTATATTTTATTATTCAATATTGTTTCTATATCTTGAATGTGAACCAACATGGAATTAAATCTTACCTCACAGCATTGCTGCCACCAAGGAAAAAAAAACCTCACCTTTCTCTTGTAATTACAATAAAGTTATCTTGTAATTCTGAGAAAAGTATCTCATAATTACGAGATAGCGAATTATCCTGTAATTATGAGACAGTAATTACTGCATACTTAATGTAATATAATACCTATATCGCAATGTGCAGACTTATAGTTTTAAGCAGTGGAAGTCATTGCACATACTGCATAACTGTTCATAACTCAGTCATCATTGCTTTGATCTCTAAATCCCACAAAACTACTCCTCATGCTTATAATGATTCTCTCCATATTTGCTAAAAATTGCAAGATTTCATTATGCCTAAACCCCAACTGAAAGTAAATCCATTCAAATTCTGCAGCGCTGGACATTGACACGATCATTAAACTGCAAGTGCCAGCCAAGTTCATGCTAGCTTTTAGATGCGTTCAGTGCACAGGTTGTACATACTGTACACTGAAGTAATGATTACTATCTCGTAATTACAAGATAATTCATTACCTCGTAATTACGAGATACTTGTAATTAGGAGATAAGGGGGTGATTTTTTTCCCTTGGTGGCAGCAATGCACTTCAGTATAAAGCAACAATTCTTTCAGCATATCTTTTAAATACTTTTGCATCTTTATTCATTACAGTGACTTTCTGACTTCAACGTCTGAGTACTTTTATGATACAATATATTGGAACAGTTTTCATGCTGCCAGAAATGTTTATTAAACGTAAGTTTGCAATTAATTAAAGCTACAACAACTACAGTAAATCTGAAAAAGAATATTTATTGTTAATGGGACTGACATTTTCATTATTCTATTTGAAATTTATTTGAAAAAATAAATCAAAATGTCAAAATTACCGCACAGACTCTTGCCACCCGAGTGTAAACAGCATTAATACCGCTTTCTTTTTCAATAGCTTTTTCAGTGAAGAAGAAATAAACTTTATCATCATCATGGTCATCGTTGTCAGGAATTGCAAAAGAGCCAACAAATTTTGGATCTGAAAAAACAAAAACATAAAACAGGCCGTATTAATCTTACAATCCCAAAGATCTGTTTTAAAATAAAACAATGAGCACAAGTGGATGTAATACAGCTGCCATCAACAGCTATCAACAATAGGCTGAAGTTTATGGTCTCTACTCTAATAGATATTTCTAAAACGAATATTTCTGCACTGTCCCTTGGGCTAGTTTAATGAACAGGGCCTTAAAGAACATAAGACCATTAAAATGTTTATAAACAAGAAGAAGGAATTCAGCATGTCTGGCACATTTAATGTTTAGTAGCTAATTTATATGCCCATCACACCAATATTATCCAAACATCTCTTAAAAGCTAGGGCATCAATTTCAGCAACACAATAGCGTAGCTTGTTCCAGACTCCCATAACCCTTTATTTGCAATGATTGCAGGGAAAATAAGCTAAACAGTTCCAAAGAGTCATTAGGGTGACCGTATGAATAGTTGTCAATGGATGGATAAAAGATGTGTAGAATGCTTTCCTGCTAATGAAAAAAAATAATAAACAGAAGCAAAAATAGTTATTTTCCTGCTAGAACAGAAAATCACTAATGATCTCAGATCATTACTAAGAATGAAAATGAAAATCAATATGATTATATAGTGAATGAAGGTTGGAGACTGCAAAGCTATTATATACTGTACATTGTGTATACTGAGAAAGAGATGTTGATACATTACCATTGCTGAGAAACACATCTTTTTTTTTCTCACACTAAAAACTGTAGACATCAGATTGCTATCATACCACAATCCTCATATCACAACCCAACATTGTCCACAAAAACAAAAATTTAGCCCCACTGAAAAAAGAATAATATAAACACATCTTAAATGTATAAAAGTAATGAGATATATTAAACCTTAAATGGTTTATTTACATTAATTTCTTTGTAATCATGTTTTGGAAATTGCTGAATTGTTACAACATGGCTGAATACAGCATGGGCATGGTGATTGACACGCCTAGTACACCTAGAGGGCGCTCTACTTCTCTCCTGTTCCTAGTTTCCTGTGATTATTTATGTTTTTCTGGTGTGTCTTGCTGTGTAGCCTATTTACTTTCCGCTTCTGCTCTGCTCCTCGCTCAGCATCGAGGTTCAGATGTCCTGAAACCCACCTAGCACCACCTCTGCTACCTGGGGGCATAGGTTTCTATACGGTACTTCCTGAACAGCTGAGCCCGGGCTAACCCCCATCTTGCCGCTACACATAGGGTCTTTATCGCTCTCCAGCCATTCCATGGTTTGTCCTTTCCGACATTAATTGGGCTGAACCCAAGTGTAAGAAACTGAAGCATGCAGAGGAATGGAGGGAAAGTAAAGTGTTAATAGAATAAGAGTTTATTGGCCAGTGGAGTGTAATTATCCCTAGCCAATAAAAAAAGGCAAAGGAGCGACAGTCTGAAAAGAAGCCACCTCCCAGGCGAAAAAAGGAAAAACGCTGGCATGGCGAAGGCCAGCCTTCAGAGAAATTGTTCACCTCTGCCCATTGATCGGAATTAGTGTTGGGCTGTCGTTCTCTCAGCTTCAGAGCAGATTCCTACTGTCGAGCTCCCCACAAAGGGGCACAGCAGAGGTAGCTGGTAGCCTAGCTCTTGAGTAGCCTGGGGTACAGGCAGGCAGACTGGTAGACTGACATGGAATAGGTGAGGTGGGAGGGTCTGAGGAGAAACCGGCTCTCTGCTTTGTGGGTGAGAAAAGAGAAAGGCTGGCATGGCAGCCCATGTTTAAATCGTGTGCCCACAGAGCCCAACAACCAGAATCTAGGAACCTTAGCTCTTGAGCTGTCACTCTCTCGGCTTCGGAGCAGATTCCTGTTGCTGAGCTAGCAGAAAAGGGGGGCCACACGGGTCTGAGGAGCAGCTCTCTTGAGTTGCCAGAGATGCAGGTCAGCAAGCTGGTAGACACCCAGACACTCTTTGAATCAGACCAGAAAAGACATCTTCTAATAACGGGTGACAAAATGACCCATCCTTTAGCCTCCTCACATCTTTTGGAGCCCTGGGTCAACACAGCTGCTGGGGAATCGTCCAGCCAGAGCCAAGAGCACTGGAATCCTCAGGACACTCAGGCTAACAGGGTTTCACTCACCAGGCTTCGGAGTGGATTCCTAATGTCTGGCTCCCTGGGAACAAAAGGATAAGGCTCCATTGGATTGCTTGCTGGAAGGTGGCAAGGAAGGACAAAGTGCAAAGTGAAAAAGTGATCAAGGCAGCACTGTAGAGAAAAAAAGTCCTAAAAAAAGTTCCTGGACGAGGGAGGCTGCCCCTGAAGCGAATTTGGTCCACCAACAGAAAAAGGGGGAGCCAGGAGAATGGAGTCCAGGGTTCTAGGATGAAGACCAGTAGGCACCATGTGGAGAAAAGAACACTGGAGTGCAGTGCAGGGTAAAGACTTGTAGGGAAGCGCTGCCATGCTGAAAGCTCAAAGGGAAGTGTTATCAGGCCAATGAGACAGGTTGCTTCTGTGACACAAGGTGAGGGCAATTGTAGAGGAGCCCTGGTTAACTGGACAGCTATGCTAACCCCAAAAATGAAGTTGAGAAATCAATGAAAGGCAGGGGCCAACGGGAAGTGGTTGGATTTCCAGGGAGGAGGAACAGCCCAGAAAAACTGCTGAAGATTCAGTCTGCAGCAACAAGGGAAACAGGATATGTGAGGGCAGTACTGCAATTGAGGTGCCTCGGCATTATAATGGAAAATGAGGAAATTAATAATTAATATAATTAATTATTTGAACAGATCTCCTAAAAGAGGACCTGGTCTGAGGGGCAAGCCCAGGAAAATCGTAAGTCCTTGTGAAAATGCTCCAGTTTCCCATGACAAATGTTGGGCAAGAGACGCAGCAAGACAGTGCTCATAACAGGAATATTTTATGTATGCATACTGAATACTAAAATACATGTTTTCCATCATAATGTTGTGAAATGTTGAACAGTGAACATATAATTGCAGATTTGTTGATAGTTCACTTTTTGTAAGTCAGTTTTAAAGTGCAGTACAATACAATTGAATATGCTGTATGCCACCCAATTAATAAACAAGACAAAATTCAGGATAATATCAGACACCAAGATGTACAGAACAATACAAGTAAATTAAACAAATATAAATCAGTACAACAGGATAAGGCAGTACCAAAATTACAGATGTTTTAAAGCTTGGTTTAAAAGCAGCAAAGGACTGGGTTGGCTTGATGTCATGAGGTAGGTGATTCCAGAGACAGGGAGCAATGGAAAAAAGGCAAGGTTTCTTATAGAACACAGCTTAATCTTTGGGACATAGATTTTAAATTGGGAAGTAGACCTGGCATTCCAGGAGGAAGTCTGGAATTGGAGCAGTCCTTTAAGATAGGGAGGCAGTTCAATGAGCACATACATATGCAGCCATTCAAAGTGCACAGCACAGACACGTACCGCGGGTAATTGGCTACATCATCGCGCGTCATACCGCGGTACGTGATTGGTTGACCGACAGGGGCACTCGTTGGTCAGTCGTAGAAAGATTTAAATGTCTTTACTGTGCCCGTTTTAGTATTGAATATTTATATGGAATTTTACCACTGAAGGGAAATCTTAGTAGCTGAACATAAAAAGAATAGGAGCATAACGAGTGTGAAGGCCATAAA